TGAGCACATGCATAATATTTCTTAAAATACTTATATTTAAATTATACTCCCTTCGTTCTCAAAAACACTACCTCTTTCATTTTTTTCACTTTCAACAAAACACTTCCACTTTCTATTAAAAAAACCACTTTTACCCTTATTTTTTCATACCTTACTATCACATCATACTTTTTCTCTAATAATCTACCCATCACATCTTAATTTTACCTATCACATCAAGGGCAAAATTGGAAGTCAACTACAATTTAACACTTCCTTATTTTTCTACCTTTTCAAAGTAGGAATTCTTTTTAAGAACGGAGGGAGTATGAATGTTAGTTTGACATAAATTCATTAATTTTTTAATTGTTTTATACTCCGTATTATCTTTTTAAATAAATATTTGGGGCACGACCGAGCTCTCGGTATAGTGCACCCACTACCCCTAAATCCTGGCTCCGCCACTGCTCTAACCCCATTTTTGTTCAATCACTTTTTCATCGTTTTAAAATTACCTCAAGTTAGCTGTATAATTGTCATAAAGCCACATCTTTAATGACTTGCTGACCTTAGCTCAGTTGGTTGAGCGGAGGACTGTAGTTGTACCGCAGTATATCCTTAGGTTGCTGGTTCAAATCCCGCAGGTCGGACTTTAAATTTTGCTATTTTTATTTAATTTTTAATCGTCTTCAACATTCTTTTTTTGTTCATTATTTTATTCTGGAACTACTAGCAAAAATATATTTTCACCAAATTTCTACCAGAATACATGAATGACACAACAGTGACAACACTCAACTGTTAAAGTAAAAACTCATTTGTTTACTACTAGCTATTCAATGATTAATGTAAATATTAGTGTATTTTGATTCATTGCATACTCTCCTTCGAGCTTAGTTCTCTTCTCTTGTGAACCTTGTCATCCCAAGCTTTCTAAATGACAAAAACACAAACTGAAAAGACTGTCACAATAGACACTCTCCACAATTTATGTTTTAAATTGACAGTCTTTTTCTCCATCTCTATATGGAGCTGGTAGTTGCATGGTTGCAAAGAGTCAATAGCTTTAAATAGTTATGTAGCAACATAGGGAGGAGAAAGGGAATACAGGGAGTGGGTAGTGGTTGGAGGAAGAAGATGATGATGGTGGTGGTGATGATGAAAAGTGTTAGAGTATAAAAAGCATTTCCTGGGCTGCACAAGCTTGAGCTTTTGGTTAAATAAACTTCTTCACATGGTATCAGAGCCTTGTTGACTAAGAGATTACGAGTTCGAAACTCAGCGTCACCCAGTTAAAAATAAAATAAAGTTTCATGTGTAATGCTCGAAAAGGCTATGCATGTACGTGAGGAGGCACGTTAGAATATAAAAAGCATTTCGTAGGCTACAACAAAAATCTTGAACTTTGGTTAAGTTAATTCCTTGACAAAAAAAAAAGAAAAAGACGAGGCGGGGGAGGAGGTGTGACACAGTCACACAGAACAGAACAGGAACACAGAGAAGAGGGGGTCAGGGGTGTGGCGAAGAAAAAAGAAGAAGGTCAGAAGGGGTGAGGGAGATAGAGAAAAGAAGGGTAGAATGGTAGGAAGACACTTAAGAGCGAAAAAGGCATTTACTTATATTTTCTTAAGTAGTTTCCATTTATGAAAATGGGAAGATAATTTTCGAAGATAGGAAAATAGTTACCGGAGTAAGGGAATATAAAAGAATATATACTCGTACTTTGGTCGCAATATATATACTGTATAATTAGTTGTACGGTATTTTCTAATCTTACATAGTGGCTACTTATTTTTGAACAATTAAATATTTATTTTCGAGCAACTGAACACTTATTTTCAAGTAATTGAAAACTTATTTTTCAAAAATTCATTTAAGCTCGAAAATAAGTATTCTACTCCGTATTATTCAAAAATGATATACAAGTCTAGTTTGACGCTTGTAAAAAATTAGTGGTAGAAATAAGGCTTACCTCTTTTCCAGTCCTACACAGTTAACACAAGCGAGCAGGAAGGAACGCACTCCCCAGCGGTGAGAGAAAAGCAGCTATGGGATTCGAAGAAATGGCGGCGATAACTCTGAACAGCGGCTTCAAAATGCCGGTGGTAGGCCTCGGCGTTTGGCGCATGGAAGGAAAAGACATCAAAGACCTGATCTCCAATGCGCTCAAGATCGGCTATCGTCACTTCGACTGCGCAGGCAAATCCCCACCCTTCTTCTATTTTCCACTCTAATAACCTAACCAGGATTTTTCATAACTTACATTGAGTCAATTTCAAGACTGCGTGCTAATTGCATGTCTAATTTGTTGTCTTGAGCTGGAATTTGAGAGATCGGCCTGTACCTAACGGTCGGACTTACCATTTCAAAGTGAGGAAGATGAATTAGAAGATGAATGTCTGAAGTTGATGATAGTCTAGTGCTATAGATAGGCTATGGCTCACTTAGAAGAGAGCTTAATGTTGGGCTTACTATCTTTGACTACCATCTGGCTGCTTTGAATTGCTTGCAGCTGACTACAAGAATGAAGCTGAGGTAGGGGAGGCACTCGAGGAGGCTCTTCAGACGGGCATTGTTAAGAGGGAAGATCTTTTTGTCACAACCAAGGTTGGTACAAACATTTCATAAACCGAAAGATTTGTTTGATAATTTTGGTTTTCCTTGTTAGGAGATACGAGAGGCTTGCGGTAGTGGGCGTGAGTATGGGGCTAGGGGTAGAGGTAGACCTAAAAAGAGTTGGACGAAGGTGAAAAGACAGGACTTGTGATTATTGGACCTCATCGAGGTCTGAGGATATGATCTTAGATATGAGTGTGTGAAGAGCTACGATTAGAATAGTTGGGTAGAACTTTGGATGTTAGTTTGTAGTTTTTGCCTAATTGTCTAAGTTTGTAACATGTGCAAGTGTGCGTTGGGGTCTAGTGCTAGTGTCGGTATGTGTGCTTCTTGTATATGTGTTGAGGAAGGGATCTCTTGGAAACAGTCTCTACTTTCAAGAATGGGTGAGGTTTGCATAGACACACCCTATGCAGACCCTTTGTGGGATTCTCCTGTTTGCTTTTGTTGTTGTTGTTGTTGTTCGTTCTGAATAGTCCTGTTGTTTTGATGGTTCTAAGTGATTCTTTTATCCAGCTGTGGAACTCGGACCACGGTCATGTTCTCGGGGCTTGTAAAGACAGTTTGAACAAGCTACGTCTAGATTATCTGGATCTCTACCTTGTTCACTTCCCAATTGCCACAAAACATACAGGTGAGTGTGTGCTATTGTTATTACTAGGATCTATTCTTAAAACATCAAATTGTTGCATGAAAGGCATGAACTTTTGACCAGTTTCCCTCTCGGAGTATTCCAAATGTTGAGGGGCATTGGTTTTAATGATATCTGGTGTCCCGCATTTGTTTTTTTCCCAGGAGTTGGTGCAACCTCAAGTGCAATTGGGGAGGACGGAGTTTTGGAAATCGACACCACTATATCATTGGAGTCTACTTGGCATGCCATGGAAGAACTTGTTTCCAAGGGCCTGGTTCGCAGCATAGGAATCAGGTAATAACTGTATTTGGACGACATGAAAAAATAAGTGCCCCTGAGTAAGGGCTATTCACTTTATGGCTGGAAATATCACCACAATTTTTCTGATGATAAACTTGCATCAAATTTGACCATATATCAAATGCCAATTCATGTGTACAGCAACTATGACATTTTCCTCACAAGGGATTGCTTAGCTTATTCAAAGGTGAAGCCTGCTGTGAATCAAATCGAGACGCATCCCTACTTCCAGCGCGATTCGCTCGTCAAATTCTGTCAAAAGCACAGAATCTGTGTTACAGCCCACACACCTCTCAGTGGTGCTGCTGCGAACAATGAATTGTTTGGTTCAGTTTCATGCCTTGAAGATCCTGTTCTTCAAGTAAACCATCTTGCTTGATTATTTCTCCTTCCATACCAAAAAAAATCCCATAAAAAATATATTTACATTGATATTACTGTCTTCTTCCTAAAAAAAAAGTTAAAAACAAGCTACCAATGTTTCTCCGATATGGCATTTATGTTTTAACTGTATGTACAAAAGGGCATAGCAGAGAAGCATAAGAGGACTGTGGCTCAGGTTGCGCTGCGCTGGGGAATCCAGAGAAACACAGTTGTGATACCAAAGTCGTCAAAGCTTGCAAGGCTTGAAGAGAATATCAGTGTTTTTGAGTTTGAGCTCAGTGAAGAGGACATGGATGCGATCAAGAGCTTGGACAGGAACTACAGGACCAATCAACCAGCAAAGTTCTGGGGAATAGATCTCTATGCTTGAAAATTTCTACTCACTTTCTACTGGCATTTGTTTTGTATGATGACTTGATCCTGCAATCTCGGGTATGTGAAATAATGGACATGGTGTTATTGTGACGTTGTTATGAGGAGTTTATCATGAACAAAGTTGTACAAAAATCAAATCTCACCCGTTTAATCCATGCCCCCCACCCCACCCAAGCTCCAATGTCAAGATCATGTTACAAATCATGTCTCGGTAACACAACACATAACATCAAAGTTGACACCGCTAGTATTTCACAAGTAATGAATGTCGTGTGTTTGTCTTTGATGGTGTCAATTTTGGTTTTGGTGTTACCCTTGGAATTAAAGTAGCATTTCCCAGGTATATAATACTCCCATGAGCAGTTGGTTGTCCTCTTTTTTTTCTCTTGGGATGTTCAAAATTCGTCATTTGTTAATCGTTTAAGAACACATTACTGGTGAATTGTCAAAAACATCCCTTTCATAGCACTGTTTATTTGTTTTGATCAACTGAGTTTGAATAGAACAAATACATCTGAATAGTATTGCCTGGACATGGTACCGCAAACTACTGGCATTGTATGTATGGACACCATGTTTGGATTGGATGGTATACAAAGTTCTAGTAAGAGTATAATCACAAGAAGTATGTAACACAAACAAGGCCCTAAAATCACTTGGAGCATGTAAAACAAACCAGAATTAACAAAAACAAGGACCATGTCAAGAATAGCTCAAACAGCAGTTGCAAACTAAAATCAAAATTGGTTCCAATTCAGGCATAAATTATAGAAGACAAACAAACAATCCCTAGCCTTCTTTGGAAATATGTGAGTTGATGATAATGATAAGAACAATAATAAAAATACTTGGTTCTCATTCAGAACCAATGTTGTGTAACCAGCCTCCACCAATAGAGCCCATGTTTCCACTCAACCCATCATCCATGAAATCCCCAACCCTCTTCACCTTCCCCGTCGGGAGGACGGGGTACTTCCCGGAGAAGCACGCGTAGCAGAAGTTCGGAGCGTCCGTCCCCAAATACGTCTTCAAGCTATCGATCGACAGAAATGCGAGTGAGTCCGACCCGATGAACGCCCGAATCTCCTCCACGCTCATCCGGTTCGATATCAACTCCTCCGAGCTAGGCGTGTCCACCCCATAGTAACAAGATGCTATGATCGGAGGGCTCGCGATCCTCATGTGGACCTCCTTGGCCCCCGCCTCCTTCAACAACCTTACAATCTTTGACGAGGTGGTCCCCCTCACGATGGAATCGTCCACCACGACGACTCTCTTCCCGTCCAACACCGCCCTCACCGGCGAGAGCTTGAGCTTCACCCCGAAATCCCTAATCTTTTGCGAGGGCTCAATGAACGTCCGGCCCACGTAATGTGACCGTATTAGCCCTTGTTGGAACGGGACCCCTGATTGAGCAGCGTAGCCCAGTGCGGCCACGACTCCCGAATCGGGGACCGCGATCACCACGTCACATTCAACGGGGGACTCGACGGCGAGAATCTCCCCGAATTTTTTCCGGGATTCGTACACCGACCTCCCGAACACGACCGAGTTCGGGAGGGCGAAGTAAATGTGCTCAAAGATGCAAGATTGCGAAGACTTGGGGCGAGTCATCAGGCAAAGGGAATGGACCCCTTCCTTGTCCACAACCACGACTTCGCCGGGATAAATCTCCCGCTCGAATGTGGCTTCGATTAGGTCGAGGGCGCACGTTTCGGAGGCGAAAACGACCGCCCCATTCCTCCTCCTGCCCATCACCAATGGCCGGAACCCGAACGGGTCCCGGACCGCGACGAGTTTATCCTCAGTTACAAACACCAAAGAATAAGCTCCCTCGAGCTTCTCGCAGGCTTCTACAATCCTAAGAATGAAAGGCCTCGCCTTTGATATGGCAATGAGATGGAGAATCACCTCTGTGTCTGAAGATGTATTGAAAATTGACCCGTTTTCCTCTAGGGTTGCACGCAGGGATTCGTAATTTACCAAATTGCCATTGTGGGCGACCCCAACGGAGCCGAACCTACAGCTGGCGACAAAGGGCTGGACGTTTTTGAGCATGGATGAGCCGGCGGTGGAGTACCTGACGTGTCCGATGGCAATTTCGCCGGGAAGCTTGTCGAGTTCGGACTCTGTGAACACGTCCGAGACCAATCCGACGCCGGTGATGTGCTGGAGAATGTTGTCGTGGACGGCGACGATGCCGGCTCCTTCCTGCCCGCGGTGTTGCAGAGCGTGGAGAGCCAGATAGCAGAGGCGGGAGGCCTCAGGGTCGCCGTAGATTCCCACGACGCCGCACTCTTCCCTGGGATGGTCGCTCGAGCGTTCGTCTTCGTAATCGAAATAGGACGAGAAGCAATTTTCGGTACTCTCGGATTTGGGATTCTTCGACGACGACGCCGCCGCCATCGCTGTAGGTTTTCGTGCGGCGGCGAGGGGCAGGAGGCGGCGGCATGGTTTGGGTGGGGTTTTGGAGACTTTCCCAAGCGGTGGGGATAGAAGAGTGGAGAGCTTGGTGGCGTAGGTGGAGGAAGCCATGAAAGGGCGAGAGCTTGGCGGAGATGGTGAAAGACCTAGTAGAAGTCTTCTTCTGAGATGCTCGGCTGCTGTAGTCCTCTCGCTATGACTGCACAAGACCTAGACTTTGATAAGAACACAATTATTGTGGTATAAGGAAATGTTTGTGAACTTACATTTAAAAATCATATCTAACCTTTTAATTCTAATATTGGAAACTTCATAATACCAAAATTCAAATATTGTTTGACAAATTCTCAAATTTTATTTTTAAAATTTGAATGAAAAATTTTACAAAAATGGCGATCGAAATAGCTTGATATGTATGAAATTATTCTTATATAAAAAGATATCACTCTTTATTTGTAAGTTATATATTTAAAAAAGTTAATTGAATTTGTAAATAATATGGGAGGGATGTGAATTTGCAATTAGGTTTGTTTTGAGTAGGAGAATTTGGTTCATATTTATATTCAAATTCTCTGAGTTTCTAGTTAAATAATTTGGATCAAATTCAAACTTCCAAATAAGTTAATGGGTGATCTTTTGATAACTAGATTTTTAATATATAGTTTCAGTTTTAAAATATTATATTTGTGGTCTTCAATTATATACTACCTCCGTCCCAGAGTATTTGTCCACTTTCGTTTTTGCACACCATCCAATACACTTCTTTAATCCATTTTATCTTGTAATTTGTATATTAAAAAATTATAGAAATTATATATTAATAATCTATATGTTAAGACAAATCAAACAAGATCACACATGACTATAATTAGACTTACACATTGAGAGAATTTGATGAGTCAAAGTGCTTAGATAAACAGTTCCAAAAGTCAAAGTAGACGAATATAGCGGGACGGATGGAGTAAAACATTTCTATTATTATAAGTCCTTTGAATATTATATGTGGTAAATAATATTTTAAGTTACACAATAGATTTTGAAATAATTTTTAAATATAAAAGACCACAAACGTACTATTTTAATAATCAAAGTACTAATACCTTGTTAGAATAAAGGTCCAACGTACATTGGGCCGGCCCCAGTAATATCACCTCCAAATGGATGGAGACATAGAGTACCAAGAAGGATAATGTCCCGACCATCGACATGATCGAGTTCTACTTGAGGTATTCTTAAATAACGAAAGGCTCTCCCAAAGACAAGGCAAAGGATAAACCAATAGTCATCCTTGCTCACTAGTGTTAAAAATATTTTAATCCCTATAGAATAAGTGACTTTTGTTTTTTGTCTATGTAAAATATTTTTGTTTAAGTCATCGCTACAAACTTTTTAAATTAAAAATAGCCGTTAAACATAATTAATGCTTATGATTTATTGAGACAATATATTTATTTTGTACTCAACAACTTTATTCTGCACTTCTAATTACCTTAAACATAATTCACATATCCCAGATTGTATCCTTTATCAAACTAGGTATCTAATTTTGAAATTTTTATTATATTATATTCCTAATAATAGTTCAAAACATTAAGCTATCTTTATTACTTCTAGTATTCTTAGTTTGGGCAGGGCCGGCCCGCGAGTTTGAACATAGAAATCAAGTTTGCAGGCACCCCCGTTTATTACGGGGCCGGATTAGCCCATACTCCAAAAAGTTCGAGCCCGTGCCTGCTATTATGCGGAATAGAAATTGTTTTTAGCACCTCCGCAGGACCTTAGTTTGTCCGGCCCAACTTCCGACTGCAGTGGAATAAGCAGATGCGATCGCTGCACTTTCGAGTTTGCGACTGCTAGGGTTCTACAGATCGAAGCTCGAATCATTGTCCTTCTCCTCTGCTTGCCATCAACAATGGCGCCACCGCCTGGACCTTACTCCGGAACCAGCACTCTGGCCTTGGTATCGTACTCGTCTCCTCCATCTTTCTGTTTTTCTCACTCCGATCTGAACACTCTTGTATTATGTTTGATTTTGCGATTTGAAATTGATTCGGAGTTCTCGTGCAATTGATCGGTTGTAGGTTGCTCGTGTATCGGCAGTCACACTTGGACTTGCATACGGGAACCTTAAAATGAAGTATCTCAGGGTAATCATTTTATTCCTTGCTTTTTAGTCGATAATTCATTCGCTTCTATGAGCAACTTCATTTCAGATCATTATTTTAAATCAAGAACATAATCAGGATTCGATTAAAAGGTTACATGATGATATTTGGTTTTAGTTATCGTTTGTTCTCTAGAGTTTTGTTGTCGAGGTGCTATTTTCATTGAATGTTTTGTGGTTTTGAAGTTAAATGCAGAAATTTCGTTAAAAAATAGGTTTATAGCATCAGAATGGCTGTAACTATATCAATACAAAGAAAATGGAGTTCCCACTACTTATCTAGGATTACTAACACATGAAAATATGACATGTTTTGTTAATGTCATGTTGTCTGGCATAATACCTTAATGTTAGTCTCTCTTTGGCAGGAAATAATCGAATGTAGTGAAATTGATTGCATCTGACAAAATTTCTTACTCCGTTTAAAAACAAAAGAAACTCATATTTGACTGCATTACTTTGTCATTAAGCATACCAAACTTCATCTAAATTCAATGGCTGGCTTGCATGCAAGTTACTCTACCTGTCCTGTACTAAATTTAGACCCTAAGCATGTGTAATTTTTTGTTTATCTTGTTGTAGTTCATACCATATATTTATGCCAACTGTATGTGATTCATCTATAGTACAACTGGTTGAAATTTGTGTTCTGTTAATTTAATTAGGCTAATTGTCTCCATTGGCAAGATATAGGTTTGAGAAAAATACCTAACTACTAACTAGGACTAAAACATGCTCCATATACCAAAATTGAACATTCATTGCTTCTATACCAAAGTATGACTTAAAATTTATAATCAAGACTTCTATACCACCCCTCATCTGCGGTGCCACTCTACGATCCTCCGCTGTCAGGTCTGCTATCAGCCGCTGTAGTGCCAGAGGAATTGCCAGAAAGCTAGATTGTCATAGCTCCATAGTAACTGTCAAAATCCATAATTGTTAATTCAATGCCAAAAAAATCATGATAAAAGAAAAATTGTAATGCCACAATGTGAAAACAATGACACCATCATGAGTGTTACAATATTAAATATAATGCCACATATGTTAAGAAAAAATGCCCAACTAATGCAAAGAATGATGTCAAATGGTATAAAACAAAGAGAATGCCAACACAATGGGAAATTGCTTTTAAAATGCCAACCAAAATGTCAAAATAATACCAAAACACCGTCCAATATCAAAATAATGCCGTTTGACATTGTAAAAGCAAATTAGTGTAGAATAAAATAAAAAATATGTGCACTCCATGACGGTGACCAGGAAGCTAACAGCTCAAGGAACAGCAAACAAGTTCCTTCTGTGAAAGACCAAAATTGCAGTTGAAACTCAGACACCAAACTCTCAGTTTCATGTACGTCTTTCCCTGAAAATAATCAGACTTTGCGTCAGGTATATGTAAAAGATAAACGAGGGTATAAAGTATGTAAAATCTCATGTATAAATGCATTTAGTTAATTCGCAGCAGATGGAAGAGAGGGTGAAGGTTTTGCAGGTAAAAGGGAGAGACAGAGACTGACAAGAATGAAGAAATTAGGTTAACTTTACCTGATAGATGAGGTATAAGATGAGAATGGATAGTCTTATTTAGGGGATAGTCTTATTTTGGTATAGTTTCCATGTTTTATTTCTGTATTTTAGTTGAGTTGTTTATAGATACTTCTGCTTTGCCTGTTATTTTCTTGCAATCACTTGTGCTATAATTTTTGTAAGATAATTATTTTTATAAGCAAATTGAGTGAAATATCATAGCAAACTTTTTAGTTTTTACTTGAGATTAATATGTACTCATTTTATCAATAAACTGTTATACTGATTTCTACAGTCGAATGCCAAGAAGTCTCATCAAAAGGAAGTCAAGGCACATCACTGAAGCGGATACGGCCGGGGATTTTGATTTCGTATAAAAAATAATTCAAGACAATGAACGATCTTTTACATGTTTAATGCGGATTGATGTGTTGGAACATCAACATCTACTTGTAAACTCTTCAGTTTTGTTCATGAATTGTTAGATGATTGTTATTGATTTCAAGCCATGCATTGAATGCTCATACTTCCTTTTCTCTTTGGTTTTAACAAATAAGTTCTCATCACATTATAATAGATGCATATTATTGATCACAATATCACATGCAAATGAGTGGCAACTTTCAATGACTGTTCAATGTTCATTTCAATGAATAGGATAAGTTGCCACAAAAATGTTTGCTTGTTTGGTTACTTGCATTATGTGGTTTGAGATTGTGCAGTGATTGTTAGGTTTCAGAGAAAGGGACTGAACCACACATTTCTGGGAGAAATGCCTAACACACTAGTTTGAGTTTCATAAGTGTAAGTAGTGTGTTGGATTGTTATTCTTTCATATGTTCAACCTTCCCAAAGAGTTGGATTTCTACTTTGAACATCTTATTTTTTCAATTTTGTCACCATGGACTTGTTCTCTCGAACTTACTTTTTACCCGAGTTTGTACTTTAAGTTCGGAGAACTAGTGTCAGGGAACGAGTCTTATACTTGTTGACAAATGCTATGGTTTCAATTTTGCGATTCCAATAGTTGGGAGTATGTATTTTGCATGCAACGTCGAGGGCTTTAAAATGCTTTACTTGGAGAGAGATTATAGGAAATGTTTTTTTTCTATGCGATCTTAAAAGGAAAATAAAATTATGATTTCAAATACTCCCTTCATGTATTTAAATCCAATGTTTGTCTGGCTATGAGTTTAAATTGTGGTTATAGTCATGAGTTGGGTTCCCTTGGGGAAATAAGGTGTGGTTTTTCTGCTTTGGCTATTTTGTTAGGAAATAGTTGTTATAGGTAAAGCTTTTGATGTACGGAGTAGTTCTTAATACTCCAGTTGTCTCCCTGTATTTGTCCACTTTCATTTTTACACACCATCCAATGCACTTCTTTAATCCATTTTATCTTGTAATTTGTATATTAAAAAATTATAGAAATTATATACTAATAATCTATATGTTAAGACAAATCAAATAAGATCACACATGA